CGGGGGGTTGGGGGAGCCCCTTGAGGACGGGGACTCCGCGGCCAGGGAGGCGGCAGGCGAGGGGGTCCCGGCAGCCGGGGTGCCTGGGCTGGCTGACAGGGAGGGCCCGAGGAAGCAGCCCTCAGAGGCGGGACAGACAAGAGCTGCGTCGGCCTGCGTTTTCTGAGTCTTGACTGGGCTTTGCTTCAGGTCTGGAGTGTGACTTGGCCATGAATCTGGTGGGGCAGCCCCTGGTGAGGCAGCAGGTGGTGAAGGGAGTGAGGGAGTTCCTGGAGAACCAGAATCCGGTGAAACCCCTGGTGATGTCCTTCCATGGCTCAACTGGAACAGGCAAAACCTACGTGAGCTCCATGCTCATCCGCTACCTCTTCCAGGGTGGACTCGAGAGCCCCTATGTTCACCAGTTCTCTCCGATAGTGCACTTCCCCCATGCTGAGCAGATAGAACAGTACAAGGTAAGGGACGCCTCCTCAGACAGTGCTACTTAATTGGGGCTTTTTTTGGTTATGTCCATCTTGATCCTCAGTATTACATATGCATTCAGGCTGCTCTCCGAAGTGCAGTAGGAATAAAAGCTCTTTGTTTTACCCTCTCAGACAAACAGCTGAGCGAGTGGCTCCACACACTGGCTGAAGGATCCACTAGTGACTGTGATATACTCTGGCACTCAGTTATCACTTTCATCTTCCCCACAGTAGTCCTTGCCATGATCATGTTCTCATTCCTTAAATATTTACACAGCCCTTTGAACGCACAAACAAAAGTGCTTTACTTAGATGAAAGGCACTAAAATTCTCCCATTGCTTTCCAAACGGTTTGATGGCTGTGAAAACCTACATATCACTAGACTTGTAATCCCCTCCTCACAGAACAAGCAGCTCCTCTAGACTCTTAACCATGCCTCTTAAAGCTGAGAAAGGGAAGAACTCAAAACGTGAAGGTCAGCTCCCAAACCCTCAGCAGAGTGGGGAATCAGTGCACCTGGACATTTGCTTTCTGGGTGTCTGGGGAAGTTATGTATTGTATTGTGTCCTTAGAAGAAATACTCCCCGGAAGGTAAAACCCACACTTGAAGAAGTGCTTCAATTAGGAGTTATACATGCCCCCAGGCCATGTGGGTGGTTTTGTGTGGGTTGGCATCTGCATTAAAGTAACTTCAGCCATGGTAAAGAGCCAGAGCTCTTCTGGGTCAGCGCAGGCACATGTTTTTGCACCAGGACAGGACCTGGCAAAAAGCACTCTGTAGCTGGAAACTGTGTAGATACACAGTGAAAGAGAAGAATGAGGGGAACTATAGGAGTCTGAATCTCCAGCTTTAGTTTGCTGCCTCCTTCTTTAAATCTGTAATAAAAGATCTACGATGGGCTAATAAAGCCAGTAACAGCCACTGTGCAAAACCCAGAATAAAGGAGGCCTCCCCCGTGCTGACTGTTCCTGCTCTGAGTAGGTAGTGCTGTGCAGGGACAAGCTGCTTTCAGCGCGTTCAACTCCGCTTGAGCTCAGCCTCAGCCTTTGCTCTGGGGTGACTCAAGCCTCCCTTGCCGCCCTCGGTATCTTGCTGCCTTACAGCTTGGTGGGTATTTTTTCCTAGGAAAGCCTGAAGCGCTGGATCCAAGGGAACTTGACAAACTGTGGACGGTCGGCCTTTCTCTTTGACGAGATGGACAAGATGCACCCGGGCCTGATTGACGTGATCATGCCATTCCTGGGACCCTCGTGGGTTGTGTATGGGACCAATTACCGCAAAGCGATCTTCATCTTCATAAGGTAAGAGAGGCTCCTCTGTGGCATAATGGGGCCTTCCAGAGCACTGCTTCTCATTTGGGCAGAGGTCATACCTACTTCAGAGCACACACTTGTTTTGCTTTTCCTTCTCCAAGCCTTGAGCCTCTACAAATAGCAGGAGACTCTATTTCATTGTGAATAGACAGACCTGGAGAGCCTGAAAAAGCTCTCCTGTCCCTGTTATTTGGCTGCTTTTACAGGAGTCATTTTAGGCCAGGCAGCTGGGAGATCCTGGCTTGCACTCATGCTGGAGGGTGTCAAGTGCCATCTCTGTCCTGCAACACCATTTTCCAGGATACATGCCAAATAAGCATCTCATTCTTGTGCAGCAATGCAGGAGGGGAGCAGATCAACGAAATGACACTGGCTCTCTGGCGTGCCCACAAGGACCGGGAGGAGATCAGCCTTCAGGACCTGGAGCTGGCCATCTCCCAAGCTGTGTTTGAAAACCCTCAGAGTAAGTCCGTGGAGCAGAGCCCTTCCTGCAGGGTCAGAGCCCGGCAGAGGGAGCCAGGACCATTCCAGGCAACCACTGACACCACCTGCCACCTCCCAAGCAGCCAGAAAGGGACGAGCGGGTTTTGAGGGAACTGCAATCCCCTCGAGGTTTCCTGGCAAAGGGAAGGAATAGCCCGGCCTTCCAAGCCAGCAGACCTGTTGCCACGTTTAGCAAAGCTCTTTGGAGATAAGGTATATTCACAGTAGGGGGATGGCAAACAGCACAGCAGGCTCACTGGAAAGGCACCAAGACATACCGATCCCCGCTGCCTGCCTGGTTCTCCTTGCTTTGTCCTTGTCACAGGGAGCAGAGCTTAAGTTCTGACTAGTCAAGCTAAATCCCCCCATTCCTGGAGAACAAGTCTATTGGGGGGCGGGGGGAGGAGGGTGACAGCTGATGGATTCAGCTCTCTCCCTGTACAAAACTGGAACAGATCTGTCTTCAGTTGAGTATTCTGGCTTCGCACAAAGCAGCTCTTTGAATTCCAGGGACTGCAGAGACGCTCTGAAAGTAAAACCAGTCTCTTCCTTTGCTTTTGCAGGTGGATTCTGGAAATCTGGGATCATCAACGAACATCTCATTGATTTTGTTGTGCCATTCCTCCCACTGAAGCGCCACCATGTAAAGCAGTGCGTCGTCAGTGAACTTATCCAGCAAGGCCTCGAAGTACGTCCGGATGTTGTCCAGGAAGTGGCTGACAGCATCCCCTACTTCCCAGAAGAAGAGAAAATGTTCTCATCAACAGGCTGCAAAACAGTGGCCTCTCGGATCAGTTTTTTCTTCTAGTCACTGGCAAGGGCCTTGCTTAGATCCATAGGGGACATATATGGATCTGTAGAGCGGCAGAGCCCAGGGCTGGTGGGATGAGCAGTGGGAGCTGCATGTTCCCTCTTGGGAGCACAAGTGCTCTCCTGAACTCGTCTCTCCAGCCCCAAGGAGGCCACTGCAGGATGCAGCTGTGGGACCAAGTGCAAGTGATGTGATCTAAAGCACTTTACTAATGTACCCTTGGCCAGGTGAGGGTGGATACGACCAGCCCAGCACACCACCCAAGACAACTGTGACAACAAGGAGAAGATGCCAAGAGGGTCTGCAGTGTCAGGGAGGTTTCTTACCCTGTCGGCAGCACCCGCCTGTAGCTTTCCCCTCTCCTGGCAGCTATTGATACCCAGCACATCAAGATTCTGAGCCCAAAGAAGAATATTTCTTTCCTATGGCATTTTAATATTTTTTAAAGACCTTTTTAAGCATGGCTGTGCCTCAGCTCCTTGGTACAATGTGACAGTGCTGGTGCTGACTCCTGCAGTGCTGGCCTGTGAACACCTTCAACATTGCAGCAAAGTTTTCTTTTCAAGGAAGTTTTCGAGCCAACTTCTTTCCAGCTTCCTTTCACTGTGAATAGGTGCTGGTAGGGACCAGCTTCACCATCAACAAGCATGGAGGGGTTAATGTGGGAGATGGCAACACCTTCCCCTAAGGTCCAAAGGATTTCCCTGCAGCAAACCAGGAAAACAACAATAAGACTTTTTGCATGTTTTACCAGCTATAAAAAAATTTCAGTCCTACCTCCAGGATAGCCCATGGTGCCACTAACGGTTTTGAAAATTCCTTTTAATCAGTGATGATTTCTACAGCAGGCTGAGAGTTGGTGCTATGAGCTGCTGAGCCTCTTGTACATCCTTCTGCTGGTCAGACCTTGCAGGCTTTGGCTGGGCCGGCATCCGTTCAGCTTCTAGGGAGTGTCACAACAGGGGACCTGGGGACAACCGAGAGAAGATCGGTGCTCCACAGTGCCAACCATGGGGTGCACAGCACCACTGGCCTTTGCCCAGGTTTTAACCTCCTCTGTGCAATCAGTTATGGGAGAACAGGTCAGAGGAATCAGAATCATTCACTCTCCAGGAACAAACTGCCCAAGGGGTGGGTGCAGGGACGCTTCCCAGAGCTCCGATGCTCCAGTCAGGCTTTATGCTGAAATGCGCTGCCAGCGCTTGGGACCATTCCAGTTCCAGGGCCAGAGCTTTGGGGACAGCAATTTTAGACGCCACCCAAGTGCTGCCCAGGAGCTGGTCCACAGACAGGCCCAAAAAGTCTGCCTCTTCCAAAAATGTTATGCATTTCTAATTTTGAAATAAATCTTTTATGAAATAAGTGGTTGGGAAACAGTCTTTTACTTGGATTCCTGACTGCAGGGGCAAAACCTGCCTTTGCCAGCATGAGTACTTCAGCAGTGAGCTGTGAAACATGTCACTGTGCTCCAGAGCAAACGAAACCCTCGCACTCGGGATTTGAGCAACCCCCCTTTGGAGTGGGCAGCACTAGTAGGCTAACACCCAAGACAAACTACACCCCAGCATGTACCTATTGCTGCAGTCGCACCAGGCAACATCAGCCAAAGTGGTGAGTTCGGGGGGGGCTCTGAGTGGTTTTCTCCAAGGATTCTTGGGCAAGACATCCAGTTTTGCTCCTCAGGACAGCACAGTCTTTCTTGGAAAGAGGTAGCTTATGAGGGAAAGGATCTGCAGTGGTGACAAGGTGAGACCTGGATCTCCTCCATGGAAAAAACTCTTCCCCACAGTGAGCTCTCAGCACTCGCTGAGCCACAGGGTTTCCACTGCCACAGCCAAACACCCGCCTCGTGCCACCAGCAAAGGCCCCGCCAGCCCCACCAGGACCTGCCCCAACAGGGAACCTGGGTTTCACCTCAAACACAACCCAGATCGATCAAGCCATGCCGCTGCCCCGAGTGGTACCATGCTGGGTGATAGCCATGTGGCGACATCTTCCCCTAATCACAGCCAGACACAGGGGGGCTTCTGTCCTGAATTGGGGTTGAAGAAACTGGAAAATAAGGAGGAAAGAGACCTGCCCAGTGGCTCTGGCACAAAGTTGTTCCAAGAGCCAGGCTATAACCCTCGCTGCTTGGCTTGGACCCACACCCTGGCAGGACCCCTGACTCCAGTCCCTGATACTTGATCAGCTGCTGGCTGGCTCCCAATGCAGAACAGAAATACCAAGCTTGCCTCAGACTGCATGAGGGGTAGGCACAGAGGCTGCAGTCAAGGCAACAGGCTGAGAACATCACCCACAACCCAAGGAGAGCATCAGGGAGCAGTGCAGGGCTGTACCTTGCCATCCACAGGGTCGAGCCACGGATGCTGACTTAGGGCAGCATCCTCCCTCGCACTCTCCACCCTCCTCAGGCACAGGTGGGCCCTGGCCCAGCACAGGTAGTACAGCGGTTTTTGGGGGTTGTGCTCAATGGCCATGGAGAATTGAGCTTCTGCCTGCCAGTACTGCCTGCGAGGGGACAGGAGTGAGCACACTCTGCAGCCTGGGTCCCCACCAGCCCTGGGGCAGACCACACCAGCCCACCCGCTCACCTCGCCACCAAGTCCTGCTGTCCCTGCTCATGCAGTGCCGCTGCAACCCATCTCCGCACAAGGCAGGCTCAGCTCCAGTGCCTGCTGGTAATCCGCTAGCGCGTAGGCCAGCTCCCCCAGGCAAAGGAAGCAGTCTGCAGCGAGGCAGCGTCAGCGTCTCAGTTAAATGAGAGCTGCTGGGGGCTGGCTGCCACCCCCGGGCTTTGTCTGGAGCTCTCCGTGCCAGTGGGAAACACGCACAGCGCATGTCCAGCCACCCCAGCCACAAAGATTTCAGCATCATTAGCCAAAAGCTCTGAGCTCCACTGGGCAAGAGACACAGCCTGGTCTGGAACAGAGCAGCCATTCCCAGCCACAGCCCTAGGACAGGCCATGCAGGGAGGGAACCGAACCACCAATGGTAAATCCAGGCTCCTGGTACCTATCCCCACTGCTGAATCGGTCCAGGCAGGCACAGCTGTGAAGCAGGGTCAGGACCAAGGGACAACCTGGGAGCCCCACTGACCATTTCAGTCACTGGTCCCTAACACAGGACCCCAGCACACAGCCTTCCCCTGCACATGCTCAATGCCCAAGTGCAGATGCTGCTGTCTGACACCCCAGCCCTCACCCCAGGGACCCCGCTGCAATCCCCAGCCCAGCTGCCTGCCTCCTCTGTTGACACAGAGCCCCTTCTCCCTCCTCTCATCCCACAGAGCCTCACCAAGGAACATCACAGCCTCATCAAATCAGCCCAGATGTAGCAGTTCACAGCAGTCATTGTAGGTGAGTGCCAGTTGCTGAGCCTGGGCCTCTGGGGCACCCAGGTCCCTCGCCCTGGCTAAGTCCTCATGGGCTGCACTGAAGTCCTTGAGCTGTCGGAGGAGGGTTCCCCTGTGACACAGGGACAGAGACAGGAGAGCTCAGAGGCCAATGGAGCCAACCAGCTGCGGTGACACTCTTGCTACCTGAGGGTGAAGAATTCAGCAGCCAAGGGGTCATTCTCGATGGCAAAGCTGGTCTTGAGCCAGGCACTGCGCAGGTCCCTGCACAGGGCCTTGGACACCACCTTGGCCTTGGCCTCCTGGCCTCATGTCAGCAGCCTCTGCCCCAGGGCCTGGGTGGCTCCATGCTGCAGCTACAGCTCCAGGGCCCATTGGATGTCCTGGTGACACAGGGCCAGCTGCCCAGGGATGCCAGATGCCCTCAGAGCCTGGCACTTCCCGGCACATCCTCAGACTCCAGGAGGGGCAACAGGGCCCCTCAGGGACCGGAGCAGCCATACCTGCCCAAAACGTTCATAAAAGGAGGCACAGAGCACATACAGATCAGGGTTCCTAGCGTCCTCCTCCAGGTTTCTGTTGAGTATCCAGAGACACTCTGGGAACTTGTTGAGAGCCACAAGACACATGATGCTGCAAGAAGAGACAGGCAAGGCTGGAAGCAGCCCATAGCAGGGCCAGCCCAGCTGGACAGCCTAGCGCTGCCCTGGCTTTACCTCCTCTGCCGAAACACCCTGCAGCTCAGCTGCCTGTGTGAAGGCCTTGAGGGCCTCACAGTAGAGCTCCTGGTCAAGCAGGAAAGCCCTGTCAGCTTGGCCACAGGCTGAGGCTGCAGACAGGAGGAGGGGAGCGGTGGCTGACCTGCAGGTCAAGGACAAGGGCCAGGAGAGCCAGGCACGGCTGCTCCCGTGCAGGCACCAGTGTGAGCACCTTCCTGAAGTTCAGCATGGCTGACTGGGAGTCACAGAGCTGGAGGAAGGCCTCCGCCTGCTGCTCATACAGCTCTGCCTGCACCACGGACAACCCTCAGCCCATGCTGGTCTAGCCCATCCCTGCTCAAACTACCCAGGATCAGCCTGGCAAGGGGTTAACAGCATCCTGAAGCCAGATGCCAACATAAGAGCCAGCCTGAATGATAATGCCTCCCTTCTCCAGCTCCCAGCCTGGTGTATCCCTAGCCCTCTGGGGACCCTTTACCCTCTGGGGATCCAGTTCATGGCTTTCGAATAGCAAATGACAGCTTCCTCCCACTGGCCACAGAAGTCCAGCCCATTCCACCAGCTGTGAGGAAAAGAGCCATGAGGGAAGCCCAGTGACATGCTGCTGAACTGGGGGACTGTCACACAGCCTTGGAAGAAAACTCTGCTCCACTGGCAGGACCAAGAGCCACCCAGGGCTGGAGGGTGGCTGGGGGGAGGTGGGGCATCATGTATCCCCTCCATCCAGCCACACCCCAAAGGCCACTGCTAAGGACAGCATGAGTGGGAACATAACAGGCACGAACACATAAAACACAGGACACAGCCCTGGGCACTTACTGCTCCTCCATCCTGCCCCGCACAACGGCAGGGAGGGGCCCCGCCTCCCTCGGGGGCCCCATGCTGGAACAGAAAC